TTTACCCTTAGTGTGAATATTTCATCTTTGGTCTGGATGATTGAGATGAAACTGAAATGCTTGTGAGACATCGTCCACGCAGCAGACGTCTATGCAGGTTAACCGAAGTAAGCACACGTACTCGTTTTTTGAAAATCTACTTTTTCAGTAACTTTTCACTGTGTCGATGCTTTCCTACTTCCATATGATATCTTGTATCAGCCGTTTTCCCAAATGCTCTTGAGACAATCTCCACGCAGCAGACGTCTATGCAGGTTAACCGAAGTAAGCACATTTACTCATTTTGTGAAAATCTTATTTTTCAGGAACTTTTCACTGTGTCGATGCTTTCCTACTTCCATATGATATCTTGTATCACCGTTTTCCCAAATGCTCTTGAGACAACCTCCACGCAGCAGACGTCTATGCAGGTTAACCGAAGTAAGCAAATTTACTCATTTTGTGAAAATCTTATTTTTCAGGAATTTTCCACTTTGTCCTTGAATATAGCTTGCAGATTCGAAAGCCAAAGTTCAGGGCATAGTCTTGGTATTAGATTCTTCCAGGCTTGGTCGGATACTTCTGATAGCCTGTTTGAGGAGATGAAACAGTTCAACATTGTGAAACTCATTCTGGATGATCTAAGAGGGGTACAGCTCTTTCTCTCTAAAGCATCCCGATTTTAGAAGTTCCCTTGGTAGAAAAAAAACGATAAAGATTTTGATGGGTGTTGGTTGCAGCGGCTGTTTTCATAGTCCGTTGAACTGTCAAATTTCTGATATTTCGTTTGTTTTCATGTTGGTTTTTGTTTAGGATTCATCAGTTTCGGGCCCAGTTTCTGCTCGTGAGTCTGGAGAGATATGAAACAACGCTGTGGGTTAGCAAGAAACTCTATTTTCTTCATAAGGAAAATAAGGCTTTTCACCAATTCGATTGTATTTTTTTAATAAAATTTCCTGGTTTTGTTCCGAGGCCACCTTGCCTCAACCCATTTTAAAATATTAAAAATTCTGATCGCGGCGAGACCAATTTGCTGAAAATTTCAAAATTCGTGAAAAATTGGAAATTTTTTC